GGTGGGTCACTGGGGAGAAAAGGGGCATCTCTAATATTTTAAACAAACAAACAAACAAATTAAAAGAGAGAAAAAACACACACCACGACTCATCCTCACTTACGTGCGCGCACGTAACCCGCGACACAGACCGTAGTGTGGTGAAGGTCTGGCGGGCTGCGTGGTGGAGGGGACCTGGGGGGGGGATGTCTGTAATACTTTCAACAATAAAGGTAAATTAAAACATTTTTTAAAAAAAGACTCATCCTCAAGGCCAGCAGTTTTTGCCACTTTTCCTGGAATGATCACACAGTATTTGGGACAGAACACCCTAACAGCAGAGGGATTCCGGTGTTTGCTTTGATTTGCCTCTATCGGGGGTAATTTTGGGGAAATTGTCTTCTTCTAATCCTACTTTTCTCATTGGCAAAATGAAGGGATGAGTGCTGATTCCTAAACTCCGTTCTGAGCCTGGCTTCTGTTGCGAAGCAGCTGGGAAGGGGTGTTGCTGTCTCCCAGGTGTTCAGCGTCTCTGAACCTACTGCTCTGGAAGAGGGGTTAGATGAAAAGGTGGTATGTACGGGGCGGGTGGAAGCAAGGGGTAATGAGAAATAAAGCAGAAGAACTGGTGGCTTTAATCAGCCCTCACCCTTCAGCCATCTGCTTTTTTTAACACATGACATATAGAATCAAGTTGGATGCCTGAAGCCAAGCAGAAGCCAAGGTCAGTAAGAGGGTGCACACATTATAGAACTGTATCCCTGTCGAACCTTTAGATTTATTTCAAACTTCAAGACATTTTCCCTCAGTATTGGTATTTTCTACTTTCCATAAATATGCCAAGGCTATTTTCGATGGAGCTCCCGGGCTCAAAGTCTCATTGGATTACATTCTCTTTAAAGGGTCTTTTTTTTAGGGTAAGTCATGGTTTTCCTAGAGGGAGGTTGGGACAGAGTGGCTACTACTTACAGCTTTGGGTTTGGAGCACAGTTTTTTCCATTCACTCTCAACAGTGCCAGCTGCCACAAGTTTCTGGAAGAAGGCAAAGATCAGCATCGCAGTGAAAAGACTCTGAAGAAGAACAGAAAAGTGAGGGTGAAAATGTAATAATAAAAAAAAGTAAGAATACGGTTTGTGCTCAATCAATGACTGTCGACTAAAATTAAATGATTAAAAGATCAATTATTTAGGTGAGTAATGACTAACTGTAAGAATTACTAGTATCTTTATAGCCAAAATCTGGAAACAGCCCAAGCACCCATCAGCAGATGAGTGGATAGAAAAGCCACAGTGCATTCACACCATGGAATACTACACAGCCATAAAAAAAAGAGGAGCTCTTACCCTTTGCGACAGCACAGAGGGACCTGGAGAGTATTACGCTAAGCGAAATAAGCCAGTCAGAGAAAGACAAATACCGTATGATGCCACTAGTATGTGGAATCTAATGAACAAAATAAACTGACCAACAAAATGGAACCGTAAGCATGGACACCATGGACACATGCAACAGACTGGCCAGTGCCCAGGTGGATGGAGGTGACTGGATAAAAAAGGTGAAGGGATTAGCTAAAGAACATATATGCACACCCCATGAACACAGACACTAGTTTGTTGAAGGCCAAGGGAGGGGGAGGCGTGAGGGAGTGGAGGTGAGCAAATGGGGGGAAAGGGGACACCTGTAATAATGTCAACAGCAAAATTTTTAATAAAAAATAGTGAAAAAACACACGAATATCTTTATAACCCTAAGCCTTAGTACAATTCCTGGCACACAACAAATAGTTAACAGTGTTGCTGATAGAAAGTAAAAGAGTAATACTTAGTTGAAAAATCAGTTCTGTGTAGGAAATACTATGAGGAAATTCATGAGGAAAGAGTAATTACTGAGCCCCAAATTAGTTGCATCCAGCTTTATTTTGGGGTATCACACCAAGGAAACCTCTTTACACTTGGGGTATGCATCTCTTCCCCTTCAAACTCTGCACTAAAAACTCCTTGAGGCAAAAGATATTTATAACAAGTAGTTCTTCAATGTTCATCTTAATAATAATAATAAATACTAATACCACTAATAAAATTAATATTAACGTTAAAGAAAACGCTTATATGCCACTTTCTATGTACCAGACACTGTTCTAAAAGTTTTGCATACATTGACTGATCCATCAAAACAGCCCTACAAGTCAGTATTTCACAATGAAAACTGAGAGAGTGTGGTTAAAATTCTTGTGCAAAGCCATGAGGCAATAAGTCCCAGACACAGACAGCCTGGATCTAGAGTTGATGCTCATAATAGAAATGCCACACTTCCTCTCTGAAAGGAAATCAGATTTCACACTTACCAAGAATACAGATCGAATTCTGTAACAATATTGTAGATATAAAGAGTTTTTCTCAGCAGGGTTAGCTGGCTCACAGTTGTGTATGTTAATAGATAGCACGGGAGCGTTAATGAAGTTTGGACTCTCCATTTTAAAAAAATGGGAAACTGTAATATTAAATATGTCCATGATCAAAAGAATTATTCCAGAAATGGCAGCAAAGAGGCTCAATGAGTTCATGATCATTTTTCCTTTGACCTGAAACGGAGACATGCAGAGTCATTAATGCGGCTGGGTTTCCATTTGGAGAACTTAAGCCAGGGCGGCATCCCAGGCCTCATGCCTCTTAAGAGGCACTACACCGAGATCATCCCCTCCACACGCCTCTCAGCTTTTAGCCTGTCACTGTCAAATAAAAACCTCCACCTCGCGATCTTGCTTCTTTCTCAGTCTTCCCCATCTCATTTTATGCCATCGCCATCCGATCAGTTTATCAAGAAAAAATTGTAGGATTAATCATTCTTATAAATTGCCCCCTTGCACTTCCTTTCACTGCCACTGTCACCATCCTAGTAGGCATTTAATAAATATTTGTTGGGTAAATGAAGATAAATAGTATTCAGACCATATCTGGCCGTGTAAAAGGGTTGAGGAGAGAGGAGGAGGTTCCTCCGTCTCAGTGAAGCGGGACAGTATTGTGGGTAGACAGACAGAACCCTCTGGGCCTGGACCATCAGGGGGACAAACGGCAGCAAGAGTAACACCTCCTATTCCCTACCGGCATCAGTGGCAATCGGACCCAGTCGGCTGTCTTTCAAAATGCCATTGGGGCTGGTGCCTCTGGTAGCGTAGGTCAGAGGATGTCAGTGGGCAAGGACAGTAAAAGGCCAAGACAGGAAAATAATGTGACAAGTACCATAAGGATACGAGATTATTGATGGGTAAGACACACATACTTCCTCCCTGACTATATGACCTGCGGATGGCAAGTCATAGGACCGGCTGAATTTGGAGAATAAAAAATCTTCATAACAGTTTTCCCCCCAAAACCCAGTGTGTCAGACCTTTAATTCTGTTTCCATGGATGCATTTCAGGTAGATCTCACTTCCAAGTTTTTTCTTAAATAAAATCCTAACAGCATTGAAGAGGATTTTTTGCTTTTTAGGGACGAGGGAACTCAGTACTACTGTGATTCCAAAGGTTTTTTAAGAGTCCTTGTTTTTAACTGAGAAATTAATATTTCCCTGATGTGTAGAGAGAGCATACGATTACTTGCCAAACTCTTCCTGGAGTTTGTCTCGGCTGCTGCCAGGAGTGATCCAGAAATGATGTAC